GCGAGGGGGGGGGGNCGGACGCTGGTGTGCTCTGCTCGGCGGAGGGACAAGTTATTGGATCGTTTGGGTGCCGAGTGCGCACGCTGTGCTGGCGGCGCTTTTTTCTTTTTTTCTCTTTTTTTTAACCTTTTTTTGAGTTGTGTTTGTGGTGTACGGGAACGGGAACGCTCTTGGCTTATTGGCCGCGAGGATGGCAGCCAGCGACCTCAAGGCGCCACTGATGGATGAGGCTGAGGAGGAGGCGACATTGGCAGACGATCAACAGTATCAGCTAGGGCCTGCCCGACCGAGGTCAAGCAGTCGGGTCAGCCTTGAGAGCCTCAGCAATGTTCGCAGCTCGACTGTTTGTGGTAAGTCAGCTTGCTCGGGCTCAGCCAGGCGGGTGCAACCGACACGATTTCGACCCGTGCAAGCGTGTGGTGTAGACATACATCCAACACACGCATGCATACATACATACATACAAAAATGCAATGCTCACTCTCACAAATTGTCCGGCTCAATAGGGTATCTCTGGGTTGTGAGCCTCTTGTTGGTCGTTTTTGGATTCATTCCGTGGGGCATCGTGGAATTGCGCCGGTTAGTCCTGCCGAACATTTAGGACAACAGACGCATGGTAGTTCGCTAGGGGAGGGGGGGGAGGATGCATTAATATTCACCTTGCCCCACGTCCTGCTCATGCTGTGTGCACCCAACGGATGACCACCATGTGATCAGCTATCATCAACAGACACATGTCCAGGCCTGGTTCGCGGCCGGCGTCTTTGTTGCGCTGGCCGTGCCATTGACGCTCTGGGACATTGCTCAGCACCTTCGCTATTGGTACAAGCCCGAGCTTCAACGACACATCATTCGCATCATGATGATGGTAGGACGAGCCAACTGCATGTCTACTTGCAATCTTCGTTCAAGCCCTAGACCTCACCTGGCATCCCCGCCATTTTATGATAGGTTCCTATTTATGCCATCGACTCTTGGCTGGGGCTGCGCTTTCCCGACTACGCCATCTACTTTGACACTGCCCGCGAAACCTACGAGGCCTATGTCCTCTACAATTTTTACGTATGATCTTCGCCCCATCCTTCTTCCGTGACCCTGCATTCCTGTTGAGCCGTACGGCTCAACTACAGGCCCCACCTTTCGTCATATGACCTCCTTGCTTTCAACTAGGTGTATCTATTGACGTTTCTTCGTCAACGCAAGGACTTTGATATCGATATTCACAAGCGACCTCCGGCACAGCACATGATCCCGTGCTGTTGTCTCACACCCTGGCGAATGGGCGAACCTTTTATCAACAAATGCACGCACGCTGTCGCCTCCTACATGGTGATGCGTATCCTCGTCACCCTAATCTCCTTCATAACCAGCATGACGGGTGATTACGGCGACGGTGATATGTCCCCAAAAAAGTCATTCATGTACCTTGCCATTGCCAATATGATCTCTCAGGTTGGTCTGTTATGCTCAACACGCCTGTACTGATTTTATTCAACAACGCAACCCCATCAACATCAACATCCCAACCCCCAATCCTTGGGCCGCTCATCTCGTACCTTTCACCATTGCTCGATGCCAAAGGGATGGGCCATGTACTGTTTGGTGCTATTCTACTATGCGTTCAAGTATGATCTAGCACCAATCAAGCCCGTGCCCAAATTCTTGACCATCAAGGCCGTCATTTTCTTCTCATTCTGGCAAGCCGTCCTCATTGCCATTCTGGTCGAGGTTGGCGTCATTCACGTGAGTTTGGGGTTTTGGTTTTATTTTTCTGGGGAGGGGGGGGGGGGGGGGGGGGGGGGAAAAAAATTT